GTATATGCATCGTAGATAGGCTCGAAAATACATCATTGTCCTAAACGTCGTCACCTTTCGGCCAAAGTATCACAAGCGCAATGCGACGTTTCAAAATTTCCGCCGCCATTTTATTATTTACTGAGAAATTGTTCGACAAAGCTGTTCGAAAATTTCACTGAATGTTCTTTGTGCTTCCGATAAAATTCAGTGTAATTTTCAAACAGATTTAACCAACAAATTCTCTGCAAAAAAAATAAAACGGCGGCGGAATTTTTTCAACGTCGCATGCCGCTTGTGATACTTTGGCCAGAAGGTGACACGTATGCAGATTCCCTCTTCAACTTCAATTGCACTGAAAAAAATTAAATGCTGATTTAGCATTTAAATTGTTAAAAAAACCCATCATGTTTCAAATGCTGATTTTACAATACAAAAATGCTAACACATCATTTGAATTTGTTCGGTTTACAATGGGCGTAGTTAAGTTAGCATTTCTCCTAATGTAAAAACAGCATTTGAAACTTTTAGACATGTTTTTAACAATATAAATGCTAAATCAACATTTAATTTTTTTCGGTGTGTGTAGCTCACAATCATTTACGCAGGTTCTGGAATGATAATGGACTTGAATTTAGCTCCGAGACTATTTTTGTCTCTGATAACGGCAACGCTGGAGTAATTAGGTAACGTGGACGCAGTGAACATCCTCTAAGGGTCGTAAACCGCTGCGTAATCAAGAGAGTCCCAAAAGTGACGTAATGGAGAGGGCTCGGAAAAGATTGACGGTTAATGAATGATTTTAAGGAGCTCATGGATCGAGAGGAAGGAGGAGCTTGGTGACTTGTAATAAATCTGAGGGAGGTGATCCCTGACCATGAGCTTCGTTGCCAAACGGTGCGAGCTGACATCGACACGATAAGAAACACTCGAAATAATACATAAATAGGAGTCGCTCTCACAGCGTTCTCTGGCGCTCTGCGACGCCTAACCGCCACAAAACTCGGTCCTCCCACAAGTCATCAGGGAGTTGGCACTCCCTCATCTCATCCAAAAACCCCTGGTTACCCCCAAACAAACCCTTTCAGCAGGCGTCCCCTCCGTCTCCTCCCAGGAGGAACCCAACCAAGCATATTTTCTGGCAGCCTCTCCTCCGTCATCCAATTGACATGACCGTACCAGACAAGCTGTTTGGTCATGACATTAAACACGACGTCATTATTGACTTCCATTATCTGACGCACTCCATCATTACGGAAGATCTCCTGGAAATTCCTGCTGACCTCCTCCAGATATCCATCTCCGTTGCTCTTAGCATATCCTGGGTCCGTTTCTTCAGCTGTCAAACTTCACATCTGTACGTTAATATACTATCTATAGCGTTTTGAATTCTGGCATTCTTGATATGTTGGAGCACCTTCAATTTCGTATGATATTGTGCAGCACCTCTGTTGTAAAATAGTTCCTTGAGGCGGCGTGGCAGGCGGCCGGCCAGAGCGATACGCGCATTGGCGCCTACAAACCTAAGAGGATACTTGAAGCATTGCGCAATGCGTGAAGTATCCTTTTAGGTTTGTAGGCGCCAGTGCGCGTATCGCTCTGGCCGCTCCGCTCCGTGTTAGGCTCTAACATTTAAACTCGCGGAGTCAGCGTAATTCAACTCATGGTTTTGAAATGTTTGTACACTCTGCATGGATTATTCTCATTCGAATTGATGAAAAAAGAAAAATATTAAAGGAAAATATAATGTGTGTTTCGTAAATATATGAAGTTGTTTCCCTGTCAAAAATTATGATTTCGAAAGCACCTTAATTTTTTCTGTTGTATTTTGTGCTTTTACTGTGCTGCAGCGTGGTGCACGCTCAAAATTGGACGTATTTAACTCTAAAAGATCGATGTACAAATGGGTTAAAACCCAAAATTGCGTGCTTCTTGGTTTTTCTTCCTAAGTCATTCATTTTTGTACAGCTTCTTTCAACACCACTGCGGCTCGCATTAATATTGAAATTGATGTCATTTCTTGGCAAAGGTCTGCCACGTTTGAAAAATATAAATATTAAAAAAATAAAAATAAAAAATGAAAATAAAAAAAAGGTACATACAAGGTATGATTTAAATCGAACATTTTAAGGATAGAACATGTATCCAAAATGTATACTTAATTTTACTTAAATATATTCATTTTTTTATGTTCAAACCATAAATCAAAAATGTTTTTGGCATTTAAAAGAGGTTTTTCAGAACTAAAGAGGCTTAAGTTGTTTTATTTCCTAAATTTGCTTAAAACACTCACTATCGTTTCGTCAAAATTTGTGTCTTCTACATCAAAATTGAATGCTTTTATGAACAAATTGTTTTTCCGTTTCTCGGGGTAGGGCTGGTTTTCACCCAAAATGTGGGAAGTGCGATTTGACATGCCTCCTTGGGCATGAGCCCGGATGCCATTTTTCCCATCTGCCCTAGAAGCGATCAAATTAGACCCAAATTTCTCCAGAAAAAGTTAGAATTAAAATGCCGAGAGAGGAAACATATGCCCTCTTCCCTCCCCCAAATGATGCTCCTGATTTAAATACACTGTATTCTAATCAATGCACTAATATCCGTGTATTTTTGAAAAATGTTTCGGATGAATTTTTGTTTACTTATTCAAGCCTACTTTACTTCATGTCAGAAATGATGAGAAATAAGTGTAATCCTGTAAAATTTGAACCACATTTTGCAGTTAGGAACTAAAATTTCTGGCTCATCCGTAAAAATACTTATATGCATAGGGAAACTAATCAGTGGCGTGGCGTGAATTGCGATATATCGATTGTCATGCCATTTAAACCTGTGGAAAAGTATCGATAAACAGCTAGGGTGTTCGCAGCGAACACCTTAATAATCGATTCTTTACCATAGGTTTAAATGGCATAACAATCGATATATCGCAATTCACGCCACGCCACTGAAACTAATGTTGTGTACATTGTTTCTAAACTGGTTGTGAGTCAAAAACTGTAGTTCCTGTAATAATCGGAAAATGTTGGAAATTTGCGATGTTTCTTGGTTTTTTTTTATTTGTTATTTTTTCTTTTCTTGGTCCGTACATTATTTCTAAACTGATTGTGAGTCAAAAACTGCAGTTCCCATAATAATTGCAAAATGTAGGAAATTTGCAGTGTTTCTTGTTTTTTTTTTCTTTTCTTTTTTTATAAATGCATTGTATTGAACGAAATACATTTGATAAACAGACCTTGCTGGTCTTTTTACATTTTCGTCTAACTTATTCGTTTGCCCTTCTTGGGGAGCATCGCGGATTTTTTGTTCCGTTGTCTTGAGCTTTGAAGCTGGAAACAAGAGCGGGTGCCGTCTCGCGACACTTCCTAATCCTAGGGAGCCCTCCCATTGTTAAGAGACGACAAATGAAGGGGTGGATTGGCGAACAAATGAGGAAAATAAAGCTATTGAAATGGGGGGAAATTACACGATAATTCACGAGGCGAGTCGCGCGGGTTGCGGGCCGCAAGGCGGCAGGCGGCAGGTTTGCAGTTCCGCCAAGATATTGGTTGTGTGGCTGTGGGTTTGAGGGTGACGTCACAGCTGCAATGCAGGTCTCAAGTCGCTCTCCATGCTCCATGTTGGTGTTCTCAACCGTTGCCAAACATGCCATCGTCACTTCCGCCAGCGTCGCGTATAACGCCGCGTCTCTATCTTCCATTTTGTTCTTTCCCAGACCAAGTAACGTAACTGTATTTCAGCGTTGCAAAATGGACCACTGCACAAGGTTCGGACTACAACAAAAGCCTCATACTTATTCTTCAAAATCTTACGTGGAAAACAGTTTACACATGGGAAGTTTGGAGATCAATTCTTTAACCAGATTAACAAGTGTTAAGTATTGATAGCGCAGATCTAATGGAACTTCAATTATATGTGCAAATGACGTCGTTTGTTTTTTCGCCGATTTTAATGGTAATCAATTGTATTTTGTTTCAGGGTTGATGTCTAAACTTTCCGCTATGTAAATTGTTTTTCACGTAAAATTTAGAAGAGAAAATTTTCTTCATGATTTAATGCATATACTTTTTCTTAGACTTCAACAATGCAATGTTTTACAGAAATATAATTGTGGTGTTATCCGTCTAAAATTTTGCCGATTTTCAAGTAAGTTAAATTAGAAGAAAGATCGGTGAAAGTTTCCTGTTGAAATTGCAATTTGAGAGTGGAAATTTTGCAACGCTGAAATGTAGTTACCTTTTTTCGTGGGGAAACGATGATATATCGCGCAAAAATATGCACATCCCTCGGAGGTCATTGTTGAGAAGTGCTTTTCAAAAAACTTCTAAAAAAACAAGACTATAAAATGTATATGGTGGGAAATTTCTATCTAGTAACTTTAGGAGTGACATATCAGCAAAAAATCTCATCAAAAAAATTATCTCACCTGCACAGTTTGCGTTCTATTTAGCTTTACTGCTTGTTAAGTCCTGGAGTAAATCCCGAAACCCCTAAAATATTTGGGTGGAAGATGCTCAGCTCTACTCATAATTCTCACCTTGTTTGAGTTTAGTTGAATATTAAAAAAGTTATTAAGTTTTGACGACACATTTTGGAACCCAAAAAACGGTTATGATGGAATTGTTGAGCAGATTCGGGGCCCGCAAGACGCTCGGTCGTGGAAGGTGGGCATGTTTACGTGGAACAACCTACAGCTATGATCGTCGGAAAAAACCATATACAAGTATAGATATTTTGAATCAGCGTTATATAAACTAAAATCACTTTTCTGGAAATTTGAAACTAATGAGATATAAGGGAGAAAAATTAATAATTGTGTCGTTTATTGATGTTTTGAAAGTCGAACTTCAGTCACGGCTGTGGAGGTAAAGATTGCATAAAACCCATTAAAATAGGGCGTAAAACAAAACTGATAGGTATAAGCATGTCAACAGCTCATTTACGCCGCGCCTGCTGTACAAATTCTAATAAGTAGTTATCGATAAGGGTTTTCTTATCAACACTACTTTTGAGCAGAGCTATTATTCGATAGCTTACCGAAAACTGTTAGTGCATGGAAAGTCCTCAAAAAGTGTAGTGATGGAAAGTGCATGGAAATGGGTTTAGTTCTATAAATGGAATTGCATGCATCTGTCAGTGGTCAGCGGTTGAATATACATCCTTTTCCGTTGATTTGACTCGTTCTCTTGCGTTAGTGAAGGACTTATCGTCTCAAGTTTACCCCTCCTGTTTTGGTGATAAGAGCCAACATTAGAACGTTACATACCTCACATTCACTCTCCCACAGCATTGCTATCATGGAAAAACCAGCTATCGGAATCGACTTGGGAACCACACACTCTTGTGTTGGAGTTTGGCAGCATGGGAAAATCGAAATCATCGCAAATGACCAAGGTATGAGAATTACACCGAGTTATGTTGCTTTCGCAGACGGAGTGCGATTGATTGGAGACAGTGCCAAAATTCAAGCCGCTACGAACCCTGAAAACACCATTTTTGACGCGAAACGTCTCATTGGCAGAAAATTCAATGATTCTGTGGTCCAAGCGGACATAGAACATTGGCCTTTCGCTGTTATTGATGATGGTGGCAACCCGAAAGTTCGTGTCGACCATGATGGAGAGGTGAAGGAATTTGCTCCTGAAGAAATAAGCTCCATGGTCCTTTCCAAATTGAAAGAAACGGCTGAGGCCTACCTTGATTGTGAAGTTACGGATGCAGTTATCACCGTTCCCGCGTACTTTAATGATTCACAAAGGCAGGCGACGAAAGACGCGGGAGCCATTGCAGGGTTAAATGTTTTGCGAATCATTAATGAGCCAACTGCGGCTGCCCTGGCATATGGTCTTGATATGAAAGGTAAACGGAATATCTTGATCTTTGATTTGGGCGGTGGTACTTTTGATGTTTCTATTCTGACCATCGATGAAGGTTCTTTATTCGAAGTGAAATCGACTGCTGGTGACACTCATTTGGGCGGTGAAGACTTCGACAGCCTTTTGGTGAACTATTTGATCGAAGAATTCAAGCGGAGGTACAAAAAAGATTTCGCACCCAACCCCCGAACACTAAGTAGATTGAGGGCTCATGCAGAGCGAGCCAAATGCACTTTGTCAGCGGCGCCAACAACCAATATTTCGATTGATGCTTTATTTGATGGTATTGATTTTCACACATTAGTAACCAGAGCTAAGTTTGAGAACCTCTGTGCTGACTTGTTCCAAAGAACATTAACGATAGTTGAGAAGGCTCTAATGGATGCTGAACTAGGAAAAGATGCCATTGATGATGTAGTTGTTGTTGGAGGTTCCTCTAGAATTCCGAAGGTCCAATCATTGCTCCAGGATTTCTTTGGTGGTAAAACCTTGAAACACACGATTCACCCAGATGAAGCTGTTGCTTACGGCGCTGCCGTACAAGCTGCATCACTAAGTGGAAATGAAGACCTGGATATTAAGGATATAGTGTTGCACGATGTTACTCCTCTTTCTCTTGGAATTGATATCGAAAACGACGTATTCAGTGTTCTCATTAAGAGAAATACCAGGATTCCATGTAAAATAACAAGAAACTATACAACAGGAGTAGACAACCAGGTTAATATACGCGTTGAAATCTATGAAGGTGAGCGTGCAGTAGCCTCCGAGAATCATTTGCTGGGTAAGCTTTTACTACAAGGTATCAAAAAAGCACCCAGAGGTGTGCCCAACGTAGATGTCTCGTTTGACTTGAATGCAGAGGGAATCCTTTCTGTTTCAGCTGAAGAAAGTGGCACTGGCAACTCTGCAAACATTACGATCACCAATGAAAAGGGTCGCTTATCCAAAGAAGACATCATACGAATGATTCGAGAGGCTAAACTTTTTAAAGAAAAAGATGAGAAGCATTTAGCTCGATCCAGAGCTAGGAATCAACTAGAGGATTATACTTACAAAATGATGCAGGAATTAAAAGCAGCAGAATCCGAGCTCTCCCAGGCTGACAAAGGTTGCATGAAAGAGGAAAGCGATAAAATCTGGGATTGGCTAAAGAAAAATCCTAAAGCTGGTCTAGGAGAATATAAACAGAAGTTGCAAGATATCCAGGAGAGGTGCCAGCCGATCATGAAGAAAATTCACACAGAAGATGCGCTGCTTGATTAATAAAGTCCAATTTTGTGCTTCCTCATTCTGCTTTATTAAAAATATTGAACTTTGAGTTATTTTGTATTCATGATAATTGAATTTGTAGTTAAATCTTGCATACAGAGAGCCTGATGACGTTGGACAGTTACCAGAAATGAGATGATCATTTTCAACGCTTTCTCAATGTCAAAATGTCTGCAGCAACAAATATAAATTGAAAACGTTTATATCCTGCGTAGGAGTTCTTTCAGCAATTCTCGTTACTCGAATCAAGTTTTGCGTGAAATATTGATTTGTACAAAATTCCAAAAAATCTCACAACATAGTCACCTAAAAAATAAAAAAATAAAATAAAAAAAATCAGACACCAAAAACATATGGACGTATTTCTATCAAACGGACCTAAGCGCCATAGGGTGAAGAAGCTAGAGGGGGGGCTTGGATTGGCGGCGGAATCGGGCGTCCGGCTTATTCCGTCCTATACTCGCAATGCTTTTTCATGGCGCTTTGGTCCGTTTGACAGAACGCGCTATCCCGGATTCTAAATTCCTCAAAAGGAACTCAAATTGGCGCTTAGTTCCGTTTGATAGAAATTTTTTTTTTTTTTTTTTTTTTTTTTTTTTTTTTTTTTTTTTTTT